AAGCTAATCATCAAACAACCAATCAAAATACAATATTCAAGACCGCGTCACTGCTTGTGCCTGTCTATTTGAGCGTACGTCATTTGGAGAGGCTACCGACATAGTGCGACGTCATCGGAAGCCAATGACGCGCCCATTCGACTTTAAATGCGCAAAATCTTTTTTAAGAATTTAAAAACATCCTTCAAAAGTTTGCAGTAGGTCAGTGGCGACACAGCGATCGTCAGGCTTCCGAACCTGAAGATTGGCAAATGTACATAAGCGCGTCGATGGTTCAAGACACGCAATATTAGCAACATCGCTTTTTGTAAAAGTGCTTTGCGATTAAACTAAATTACAAATAAATGTGTTATAATCTTGATATAATATGTGCAAGTGTATGGGATGGTTGAAACAAGCAATAGGTCCCAGTGATGCGATCCAAGACACAACATCACGTAAGTACCCCGACTTCCTCCCTTAAATGAGAACTTTACACTATGGGAAAAGAAAATCTGGATATAGAATCGAAGTTGCTGCTGGGTATGTGTATAGGAAGTACAGCAGGCTACTTGCTCATCGTAAGTACGTAATCCAAATGCCACCATACTATCGTTGAACACTATTTTCTTTTGGATTTGTGACGTCAGCTTTGAAAACTAGAAAAATATTTTGGAATGTTTAATTTAGCGCTTTCTGCAACGACACAGAGGAAGTATTCATTCAATAATTCGCGTTGAGAACGCACATAGGATGGGTTCGTATGAGGCGTGATACTTTTTAAAATAGTGACACGTACTAAAAATTAGGTAATTTTAACGTGAAAAACAAAACTGTTTTTGTACCGTTAAGGTCACGGAAAATCTTTCCGCACTCCATCTATCTTGTGCTCTTGTTTCTGTCGTTTTCTTTCTTCTTCTCTTCTTCTCTTCTTCTCCTCTTCACGTCTCCCTCGCTCCATTATAAAATCTTCATGTTGCGAAAAGTTGCCTTCCCATCATTTTTATCGGCAGCCACCATCTCACACCCACGAATAAAGTGAGCTTGGCTTCCTTGTCAGTCCGACCGCTTGCAAAGGATTGTCGCGGACTTGATCCTTGCAGAAAGCAGCCGCGGTTTCAGCTCGTCAGGTCCAGGTGAAATCCTGTTAGCCAGAACAGATAGTAACACTTGCTATCTCTTCACATTCAGAAGTCATTTGATACCAAATGTGTCTGACCCGTTTCACATATAGGCTAAAAAGGAATTCCTGTAGGTATCTTGGCTTGATGAATGTATAGGACTTCCGCTAAGACTCGCACGTATTTGTTCTAAGATGACGTTTCATTCCTTAGCACGCAAATGCTGACTAGACTAAGAAGCAAGTCCACACATTACTGTGCGATGACCTTTTTTCGGCAGGTTTTACCTAACGATGCATACTTAACACGCTCATCGCAACCGACCACTAGGCATATTCTACGCTTGTTGTTCGGAATGGGCATTGAGCAATAGGGCAAACTATATCATCCATAATTTGAAGAAATATCGCGTAAGAAATTATGTAACACATTTTTGTCGAGCAAGAGCTGTGTAACAAAACAAACACACCTAAAATTTGAATTTACGAACCTTGTCAGCCTTTCGATATATTCAGTAATTATATCTTATATAATGGATAGGAAGAAGGACAACACCCCACGTATCCCAGAGACCGCTTCGTTGGAAAATCCAACATTCTCATCAGTACCAGTACTTAGATACTTATATGTTTTCGCACAAAAATGTTATGTGCTTGTACACCATAATGCACATTACAGAACCCATCGAGATGCTTCTCATTCAGACATTAAGCAAAAGTGAAATTTCAACAAGCACCCAATGCGCATGTAGTTCCTAATCTTACAAGACTCATAGCATCGCAAATTCTCTTCCTACCTGTCTCCATGGATCAAGAAGCCTTGAGTGAAGTACAGTCCTTGCATCGGGCGACCTTGAAGCCATGAGGAAGCCAAGGTTTATTCTAGTAGGAACAGTCATTGAAACTCTCCAAGTCTAGACCCGACACCTCCACCCTCATCGAGAGACATACAGCAGAGGTAGTCACCGTGGAGCAGGCGTTCCCAATATTTGCCCAGTTTATCCTTGTTCCCTGGGGCAGAAAGTGTTTTGACATTTAATGGCGAATGTCACGGCGACGTCCACCTCGTCACCTACAGGCTGAAATTGGCCTTGATAATCCAGCTTGTTCGTCTACAAGAGCAAGAGGTGTAGCGACTACTAAAGATAAAGTTGCGTTGTCATTATGACCTCAATCCGTCTAATTCGATGCGCCGTTGTGGAGCCTTTGAACACCCATGCCTACGGGCTTGGAACTCGAGCAAAGAGCAAACGAGCGTTTGATTCCTCCGGTCAACAATCCTCAAGATTACCGCCTACGCCTGGAGCAGCAGCGGTCGAATAAGTTTGTACCCTACATGAAGAATACTGGACACTGGCAAAATTGTCGACCATTGTCGTCGAGCACTGCTTGAAAACGGCACGTCGTCTCATTCGTGTTTTAAATTCTATAAGCCAGCTTTAGCGAAGCAGATGAGAGACTGGAAAACGGTCTTGATGTTTGCCTTTGCGAAGCAGAACGAGATGAAGCCAAGCTAGAAAAGGATGCCCTCGAGGCCTTGCTGTTAACAATTCCGCTCTCTCTTCTGAGTTGCTGGACAGCCATTGGCCAAGTTGAATACTTTGAGCAAGACCGGACCCTTCCTGCAAGTAAAAACTGCTTAGCTCTTCATCTGACGAGAGTACGACGGAGGATTGTAAGCGCAAACGGCACCAGGGCAGTCGTACCGAGGTGAACTTAGAATTCCCAAATGTTTTGTAATGCAGGTACCCTTTTCAGTATACTAGCCTCTAGTATCATCCTGGCAAACAAAATCTACCTCACGTGGTGTTGGGTCACACCTACTTATATAATACGGGTAGGGAACGATTGGATCTCTATTCAAGCGTTTTGGCATCCAGCTGATAAAATGACATGATCCACGTATCGATGATGCTTTTTGGTTTAGGTCACTGTATAATTGGCTTTGGAGTCACATGCGGTTAAGAGGTGTATTACATCTCGAGCAAAAAGGTCGATCAGCAAAAAAAGGGCGGTTGAGACTTTGCTTAATATCTAGCAGATTGTTTCACATTCGACTGGCTCACCAAAGCGTAAGTGTTGCATGACCTAAACAAGCCCACACATAATACAGAATGTGCATTTTCTTCGAAGTAATGTCATATCATCTTTATTTTACAACTATTAATGACCCAGTACTACTCTCTTATAGAGTGCAGACACTGCATATGTAGGTAGGTATCGCACTCGAAAGCATTAGACGTACTCATTTGTGATCCGCCCACTTTTGGTAACTACGTCTTGCTTTTGTTTTCCTCGCGTTCAGCCAGAGTGACGCCCATTCAGGGCTTGGCGCTTAGTTCTATTACTACAATCTGTAAACAGGCATCTATCAGCAAGCTAAATTTGATCGATGACAACCTGCGCACTAAGCCCGGGGCCATTTGATGGCGTTGTCATAGGCATCTAAGGGCAATTATCGAAATCTAAAAGATCGGGAGCAGCTTTCTCCAACAGTACTGTCTCCCACTACAAAGGCTCTAAGGTGATTGATTTACCACACGATAAACATTTTACTTAACTCCACATGGGCGGAAAATCCACGCTTGATATGTCCGATATGGTGCGTAAACCTTGAAGATCTTTGCCATATCTTCGCTGTCGAGCGCGGTCTTGTCAGATACAATGGCCATTGCAAAGTCATTCAATCTAACATTATTTATAGAGTAGCTTGGTCGAATCTCCACACGTTCTATTATTGCTATCAGCAGCAAAATAAGTTATTATTTTTAAACGTTTTACAAAGGCCACGTTCCTGTATCATTCAACATATCTTCTGGGAGACAAACAACATCATTAGTTATGGCTTTCCAGCACTCTGCTGATTTCGGTAGGCTGATCAAAGGCGCCGACACATGTTTACCCCTGCAATGCGTTTTAAATAAATGCCCAATAGTACTTTCGCACTTTTGGGACTACCACAATGCTACATTTATTGTGGCGCACTGAGTGACGTGGTCAGCGTTTGCTGTCTGAGAATGTTATGGGCCAATCATCATAATCTTGTGTTCTTATTCCTTGCACATTATACACAATATGGTCAAATATGATTGGTTTGATTAAGCAAAATTTGAATCACACTCGGGGTAATTTTGCACATATAAAGGCACCACAATTTCGGTTTTTATGACAATAATGACATTTCGAAATGCAAGTTCTTTGGGATACATGTATGCTAGCTGCGTGTTAAAAAGAAGACAGTTATCATTCGAGATGATGAGACGTAGGTATTTTAGTGATATATAAGTTAGTAAGACGTATATATTTAGTATCTGTCAAAGTTGAATAAATCCTAGCTATATGTACACTTCAAAATAGCACAAGGATAATAGTGTTGGCTACTTTTAATACTCTCAGTTCAGCTGTTGCGCACGGACCCGTCTGTTGTGCATTTGCTAGTGTCGACTCTAAATGACAAAGTATCATCTGTGTTAAGTCCATGGCGATCCATTTCTATTGCCAGCATTTGAACCACGACCGGATTGATGAAAAACTGTATGTTTTGCGAGGATGAAGCTTGAACTTTTCAGATATCTGTTTCCGAGATAGAGAGGCAAGCATAATTAGCTCCTGTTAATCTTGATAGCCGATACGATTTGATTAATGACCATCGAATGACCAGAAGCGGTAATGTCTCGCCAGAGGACAATCACCCAGCTTAAAAATTGCGCTGTTGAAGCACGTTATTGGAGTCCTAGCCAATCATCAAAGGAGAACAAATGACCCCGTTCAAATGAGCGTAAATGTTGGAAGTTCAGTCATGTGAAGCCTGGGACGGATAAAAGCAACTTCCACGAGATAAAGAGTCTCGACAGAAGAAAACAAGCAATAGAAGCAAGCATTCAGGCCTCCGATGCACCAATTAAATGAAAGCGGCCAATTTGGCTCTTGCAACTCGTAGCGTTTTGAAGGATTCAGAGCACTCAGCTGAGCAGCGGTCAAGCAATCGTTTGCTCCTTGACTGAAACACAACAGTGTGAAAAGTAACGATGAATCTGTCATACTTCGAGCATATTCTGATCGAACTTCTTCGGCAACCGAATGTCTGCGTCCGGATACATTATAGTGATTGGTAACTCTACTCTCAAAATAAGCTCATAAAGACTCAGGAAACGACGGAAGCCAAATATGTAGTTTTACGCGCAAGATTTTCTTTCTACTATAGATACAGAACGAGCTGGACCATCAATAAGATGTGGCGTTTACTATCAAAGATATCAATTCTGTATTGAAAGTGTCGAAGCCCAACGTATTAATCAAGAGTTGGTGTAACTATGTTCGAGAACGCCTGAATAGGAAAAAGTTGTTTTCACGAACATTGCGTTAGTAAGAAAATAAATGAGACGTTGGCCAAGTATAAATACACAGACTGTCGCTAAGCAAGAATCACTGGATGTGCGTTAGGCTTCGCGGTCTGTTGTAAAAAAAAATCAGGGTATTTGCTGTGTTGCGAATTCTCTAGAATGGCAATCACAACGCGTGGTCAATGGTCTTGACCGATTATACAATATACTTCTAGATACATCAGTGATTTCGCTCATGCGCGCAGCATAACGTCCCACCATTATTCCGATAATAAGCTTCCACTTTAAGTTAAAGCGTTTTATGTAGAGTGCACGGAGACCCCGCTATACTTGTCGCCAATCTGAAGACAGAGTCGTTATAGACTGTGTCCTTTGCAAAGGCGATTACGTTTTTCTTGCTATTTTCATAGGCCAAGCTGAAACGCCCATTAGCTTTTGTCTATTGTTGATTTAAATGTACACGACAATTGGCTGTTCAATCCTAGAAGCAAAAACCTCTCGCTCGGCGTCGTCTCGCTGATTTATGGAATAAACTACCAACACACGACAAAGATCATTCTGCAGATGCGGAGAAACACAAACAACTTCAAATATGAGAGTAATTATGCTAGGCGTACAGCCTTCAAAGCGAGAAATATTTCTCTGGTAAGCGAAGCGAAGATGGCAAAAAAATCTGGCTATTTTCATACGGATCATCATTGAGCTACGCTTGCGGTTTTCTAATTAAAAGGCCACGCGCAAGAATAGATGCTGTATCGGTTAAAATACTGATATGTCTGGTTCTGAGGGTGTTGTAACGACAAAAGTTGCAAGTAATCGCACATCCTACCAGCGCACGATTGATGCTCAAATTCGTGCCCACCAGTCAATAGAGATGAAAATTATCGAACTGTGTTCAAGACGCGCGTACCCTCAATGCAGCGTAGTTGACATGCCCTTTCTAAGTGGCATTAACACTTACCACCTTTACCGCGTTCACTCTACCTGCTTTAAGGCTAGAGGCTTTGCTTCAATTGCGAAGCACAACTTTGCCTCTATAGGATTATTAATGAGCAGGATAATAAGACATTTGTGTCCAGAGGTGATGATCTTCAGCCATACAGGTCGGGGCGAGAGAAATATATTTTGCGGCTGAGCACACCTTGCACATATCTATTGGTGAAAATACAGTTATCTGTGCCTTCCGTGCCCCAGAGGTGGCTGTGAATTCACCCTTGTAATCGAGCGATATCACAGCGCGTCGCGCTTGCAATCTCTGGGCTGAGATTTCGCACAAAATGGGCGCTTACGCTCTGTTCCTAGGTATGAAAGACGTTTTCAACACTGGATGCATCAAAACGAAAAATGCTGCGAGTGCTCGCATCGCCCAACCAGACGTATAAGGTGCATTTGAAAATCTTGCCAGCCCATCAAAGAAGACGAGAGCTGGTGGACTATGACCAGGAGCTAACGGCATTAGATGCTAAAATGGCCTGTGGCGCCTTCCTAGAGTAGACAACGTTTCATCCTCTTTAAGAGTTTCCTTGTTCATCCTACACTTTTACAGGAAGAGATGATCGTTACAATCACTGCAAGCCCCATTTTACTTACTTAACGGTTGAATGAAAGGCTGAAAATGTAATTTAACGAGCGCAACAAAAGCGATGGACCTCCGCTATGTAAAAAGAGAGGATAGAAACACTCAGCTGCTGGGTAGCTCTGCAGTATCCGCAGATGTTTCATTTGAGTCTTGCGTTCCCCCTACGCTATCGACTGAGACACACGAAGAGTCGAGCTTCAACGCAAGGGCGCACGACGAGCGCTTTAAGAGAAATGTCGATGGGTGGCCTGCTGAAAAAAGTGGCTTCTATTATTTCTCGTGAAATTTGTGGTTAATGATTAACGGGTGACTATGTTCACGAGCGGTAGTGCTCACACCTCAAGTTTGCTGACTGCTAACATAGACATTTCTTTTGTTGCGAACCCGTATAAATACCTGATAGAGGCATGTGCGGCGTGTAGTTACAAACCAGGTGCAACTGTCAAAAATGGTAGTCAGTGCGCGAATAAATTAAAACTACTGAATATGGATACGGTATGCAATTGTCTTGCGATAGGAACACCAGTTAAGGTGTCGAAGGCTTTGCCGAAAATTCACATAAATCTTAAGCATCATTACAGCAATTTTATTTGAAAATTGTGATGTCCTCTAATCATCCAAAAACTTATAATTATACCGCCCCTTGAGCGTTGAGCAGTGCCGGCGAAGATATTCCATTCCGAGCATTAACCCCGTTGGATTTCTCTTCTGCGGGGGCACATCGAGCTTCTACGAGGATCTTGACGCGCGATCGAGGCTGGATCAACCAGGATACGGAAAGGTTCTCTGAGCTTCACCATCGTATTGATCGGCTTGAGATTCACCCAGCGTTACAGTTTTGCGTCGGTAACATAACTACAGCGAATATTATAGACGCTTCTCCGTCAGCAACAGGGATCTTCACGCTCGACTGATCCGCAAGAGCGGGATTGTGGTATGGCTTCAGTAAGTTCACATGAGACACTGACTATGTTAGCTTTCTCTTTAGGATGATCATTTCTCAATCTATTCTCGAGAACTGTGAACGGTCCGTTGTAGCTCGACCGCAAGATAAGCTTATAGCCCGCAAGCACAGCATATGTGGTTGAGCGATCAACATTTGATAACACCCTCTTGCTCAACAACATATTTGCGTGTGTTCCGCCTGACTTTGACACTGGTGTATCGCTTTTGTTTCCATTGGCTTTCAGCCATATCGTCGTTCACCCTGGGCATGACGCTCAATCTCATTGATATGATATCATTGATTATGCGACAAAGTTTAGCCAGACTTGTATAAGCAAGTCGATTTTGATCAACAGTCCTTCCCAAAGTACAATTGCCAACTAAATTGCGGTGTCAAAGGCTCCTGGGGTTTCAGCAAACTTTTCTCGTATGATGGAGTGGTATCTGTAAAGGCATGTACTACGTAGTTTATCGTAAACTCTAAAAGTTACAGCAGCACTTCAGCAGAGGAGCCTTTCTGCGCAAGTGCTCCGGAGGATGTCCTCCACACCAAGATCTACGCGTTCTATTTGAACATTTGTTTGCGACTGCGCAGCGGCTAACGTATCAAATCTGGTGTCGAGTACCTTAAACATTTGACAAATTTTGCTGTAAAGTGCGGGTCTCTTTCCGATACGATGGCTACCGGTGAATCATGTTGGCGTGAACTTTGTCAAGAAACCGTTACACTCGCCCCCATTAAAATCGTAAATATCCTTAACTCTCATTTAATGGCCGCCTCATACGATGCTCGCGTGTCTGAGACACCTACACGTTCTATAGAACAACTCTAATCTTCTCCGCTCTAGTCTATGACACAAAACCACCCAGACTTGCTGGTTCCGAGGGCGTCCGCGGGCAAAGCCCTTACCTACAGGAAGGTGTCACAAGTCGTAAGCCCTGAAAAAATTCCGCCAGTTCTTGCCTTCCTTGATGAGCAGATGTGATCATTCGCAGCATCTGTCCCTTTTGATGTATCAAGTGATCAAAACGTCTTTTATACTTAGGCACTGCACGTAAGTAACCATTCTTGTGCTCGGCATCCCAGCGTGGAGATTGCACGCGTGACGCGCTGTGAGGAACAAGGACGAATTCGCGGCAATGATGGAAGATTTATTCGTTCTTAAAACGCTAATGGCTCGATTCCCCTACTTGCGGCTAACTACTGACCATCCTAACTGCCTGTGATATATGATATTGCCTCCTTACACCTAGCTGCCTCTGGCGCAAGAAACTGCGCAATACAGCCTATTACTTGCTACCTGCTTTGGCACAGAAGCTACCAGCTTTTGGATGATTGAAAACCCTACAATATAGTCGCTTTGCTGTATATTCTCTGAAAATTTTGATTTTCGACCACATATATATGCCTCTTATTACGACTGTGGCTATCACCGCTCTGCTTCCGAACTTGCTTAATAAAAGCGGTAAAATTTTGCCATCAGCCGATGGCCCACACCCGATCTATCACAGCTTGGTGACAGTGCTTCGTCTTTCAAGTCAGGTATAATCATGACTCATCAAAGCTCCATCAGGACAGAAGAAAGCTAGTATGAAAATTTCCAAACGTCAGATCGTTTGGGCGTACAGCTCAAGCCGCGCCGCAAAGTCATATTAGAACAGCATGTGGTGTCAAAATCACATGCTACAAGGCACATCAAACATGAGATGCGACTATGTGGAGTAGATGTACCACAAGCGTCAAGGCAGCGATCAGCATTCTGGAAATAACATCAGGCAAAAAGTGAGAAGACAGGTGCATTCCAGCTAGCAGCAAGATCCAACTTTTGCATCGCATAGATCAAACGCCAGCTCGACCGAGCAAGGTTTCAGCTTCAACAGAGTAACTACACTGTCATTATAATAGAAATCTTCTGCCTGCACCAAATTTATCACCTTATAATGCTAGTCTGATAGATTGATTCTCTATCTACCACTCATTCTCCGCTCTTCGGACTTTTCCCTCTTAGCAGAACATAGTCAAAGAACATCTCTCTGACAGGCACCGGTGTGTCAATCCTGTCTGTGGTAATCGACAAATATTGTATCAATCAGAATGTGATGTAATAGTCAGGCAAGCGCAATAAACTCGAGTTTCCGAATGTATAGCCATCAGAACTTCATACGATCGATAGCTCTCGTGTTGGTATGAAATATGTGCTACTGTCAGTAAGTCAGGAAGGTGCCGCTAAAGCTGCAGTTTGGCCTAGATGCTGTAAAGCAAACGACCGACATCCAGTCGGCAATCCAGGAGGCTGCCAATAAATGACACTCGGCTTAAATTCGTTGCTTGCATTTGTAAATAAAACTTTGCCGTTTCGGACATCATTAAGGGCGACCTTTCTTTTCAGTGAGTCGTAAATGGTTTCGCATAACTTGGTATGTGAGTGTGTATGACGCTTTCCTATCACCCGGCCACTCACGTTAAGCGCACAGCCGCAACATCAAGTCAGAAGTCATACCTCAGATGCACGAGACAATACGACCGCAGCGTTTATCGCAGTCGAAACTTTAGTTTTGTCACTAAAATACAGAGATTATGCCGATTCTTCTTGCATAACAGACTGAGCACCCATTGCTACATCGACGTGATTTTAAGGTTCTACTGTCTTACTGCCCGTTTTACAAGCGGCAACGGTGTGAATTCGAAATCATTTCCGGCACAAAGGATCGTGTCACGAGGGAATGGCCTCTTACTCATGAGCAGTACGATGCGTTGGACATTTTTGAAATTGTGCAAGAATCAAAATCCCTGCACCCGTCACCAACATTTTGTGGTAGATTTCCGAGCGACAAATAACGGCTATGCAATGCTTACGATATACACAGTAGCACCATCGTATCAGTACAGACCTTAATTTCTTGAAAGGACATAATATTGAACAACAGGACCGGGACAACGGTGTACACTGCTTCTGATCCGAAGATGGATGCTATACGAATTGATCCAAACTCCTGACCACCCCCGACACTATACTAAAGAAGCTTTCAACACCTCAGCAACTTTAACTGGCTGGTCATACAATCGTACAGATTCTTATAAATGTTCCTATTATAAACTTTGAATCTGTATTGGCCTACATTCGGATAAATGGTAAATATTGAGCTTCTTAGGTGCACCCGGAAAACCCCTTTTAATAGTCTGAAGTCGTGCGAGATAGCTAGTACTAAGGCAACACTCAAAGTGCGTATTTGGAACAAAGGAAAGTATTGTCTTCGGCTGCACTGAAATATTTAATGATTTCACGCAAAGTCCAAAATGTAGAGGGCCATTGGTGTATATCCTGCGGTTAAAGGCCTGCCCTCCGGTCTCAAGACGACCTGCGTATATGAAGACAAATTTCTTGCAAGAAAGTATGCATCCGAGAAGTTCCGAGTGCACCTAGTGGACTCTAATCCCTTTGTAGTCTATCGAGAATGTGAGTATTGCTTACCGCCATGCGCACCGATGGCCGGGTAGCTGTCATTCTTTGCAAATTGTAACTTATAGGTTGATAATGAGCTAAAATGCCGTGATCGACGCTTCATTGAGTCAGCTTAACCGGGAGCCGGGTCGTTACGAAACCCAATGACAGAATCTGTCGAACATACCAAAGAGATAGGATACTGATGCCTATGTTAAGGCTTCCGCTCACTGATGAATATGTTAAGACTGAGTGACTAAGGAATCGACGAATGCCACAGCTCCATCGCTACGAATCAATTGGCATCGTTTGCCAGTTTGACAGACAAACCTTGCAGCATAGCCGGCCGCTGCCGGAGCAAAGCACTCAGAGTAGATTAAATTTAAGAAGTTTTATATTCCTTACGGCTAAAAGATAAAGTACGATAGCTTATGGAGTCGCACAATCTGCCTCTTGGAAGCCATTGTACCTTTAAAAAATCCATCGCTCCATTTCTCGGATCATTTCCGCCGTACATATCCAAATAAGTATTTAAATATAAACTGCCGTGACATGCTAACAGATTGAACTAAAAAGCCAATGTGTCAGCTCCATTGCCTTCGTTCAATCATATAGTTGGATATATGGATCTTGACTAATGTTTTGGTTTGCGCAGTGACATGAAGATTTACACGAGTGCTCTACTTTTCGTATATTCGATGAGCTTGATGTTAGATCTTTCTCTTATTCTTGCCGAGGGGTAGGACACCTGGATGCGACTCCAATTAATATAATAAATTTGATAATTCTTCGTCACGAACTCAAAAATATTCCCCCGTAAGGCGATCATATCGGTAGGAAGCCATAGAGACCTCGAAAGCAATCCGTAGCGTTTAGCCTTACTACGGGTTCAGTATTTAACAGAATTGCGACTTTTTGCACTTCTTGAAAGCGCCTGTTTAGAACGTACGTTAGAGTCCTGCCTTATCCGGGTAAAGTCTCAGTCTCTTTTGTAGAAGTTACAACGCCCGACATTTCTTCAGGCGTTACTTCCTGCTTGAAATTCTGATCTTTTGGGGATAAATGTTGTGAAGCTGAACCTACTTCCAGTATAAGCTCATGACGCGACGTTCTGGGACATCACCCGAGGTCTTACCCATACGCTATCTGCCTCGAAGTGAAGAGCGCTATGATTCTGTTGGGAAAGGACCGTCATACTTTTTATCCACTTGATGACTTCTTGCTTTCGCCATATTGGAATGGGCGGTTATACGCTCAACTATCGCGGACATTGAAATTTCTTTATAATGAAAGGTGGTCGTCGATGTGATATGACTCCTAATTTTATTTTTAAGTGCTTTTTGGCGCCAATTTAGCTAATTTGAAGTGATGATACTGCTAATTGTAACTTTTAGATAAAGCCAGAAGCATACTGCATTTTTATTCTTTAAAACTAAATATTTATAATGCTACCTGTAAGAAATCATGCTCTAAAAATGACATTATTTAGTGATAAATAGAACAAATAAATAAGTAATTTACACAAATCGAGAAAATAACACTGTTCAAGTGATTAATCTTTTACGATAGTCCATACGCCAATACTTATGTCACGCAGTAACCAGCACACTTTGTGTACATAATTCTTACTGGCTTACATGACACTCATGATCTCAAAAGTCTCTACGACTGTCGCTTGGTCTGACACGAGTAATTCTTCCTTCTTCATTAAAGGGTACGAAGCGTCCGTGGCAATGCCACATTGGTTGTTCTTGTTGCGACTCATCATAATGTAACCCTTCATACCCCACAACGCACCCCATGAATTCTTGACAAGCCAATGTTCTTTCTTCTTGTAAACACCATAGCCAGCTACAGCAACGCCATGGTCTAATGCATCGGGAGCATTCCCACAGAGCGGCCAGCTGTAAACACCATGACGGTACAGCTGAAATGTAAAGCTACTCGCATCAATAGCTACGGCCTGTACACCTTTAGTGACAACAGCAGCTAGTAAAGCGCTTTCATCACCGGACGTTACATTACCAAATGCAGTGAAATGGCCAATAGCTTTATCATCCTTCGCATTGCATACACCCTTCGACTCAGCAGTATACGGATAATCTTCCTCTCGATCAATCTTACCATTGTGGTGCTTAATTATTTCTTCGTACCCTTCACTCATCTCTCCACCATGATTACACGTATCGATACCATTCAATGTACAATCTACAAGTTCTTGCTCCGAAAATGACTCAAGATTTCCAGTATTTAGAGCATAGGCGCTTTCCATAGCTGCTACAGCCGAGAAAGCCCAGCATGAGCCACACTGACCTTGATTTTTCACAGGTGTAACAATGTCATGATCGCGCCAATCCCAATTGTCTGGAAAATCTGCAACATCTTCAGGCTTGACAAACGTTTCGGAGGCTCCTGACGTAGAGATTCGGGGTCGATAACTCAAAAGCTGCTTATACTCAGCATCACTAAGATCTGCAAGATGATTTAATCCAAGTGTAAATGTGAATTCCCCTCGTTCAAATGCTTCATTATGCATTTGAATGCGCTTCAAATTAGTTGAAAACGCTTGGAAACGCAACAACACGAGATCGTCGTTATTGTCGTCATAACGGTAGCTTTTTTCATAGTCCAGCGTGTAATTTAAAAATTCATGCCACGTCTTCTGCTCTGTTGAAGTAAGCCAACTCGGTAGATCAGAGTTGAGTGCCACAGACGGCGCGAGTACAATGGATGTAGCGAGATATAGGGGGCCGAAAACCTTCATCTTCGTGGTTATATTTGCTCTGATAAAGATTTCTCCGTTTAAAGGAACGTTTTTAGCCAATCAAAGCACATCTTGATGTTGAAGTACTGAAATAAAACAGATAAAATATTTTACAAAGAAATTGTTTTTTACTGCAATAAAAATAATTAATTAAGCTAAAATTTAGCAAAACAATTAAGATATGAAGTACAAGTGGTTGTTAGTAAGGTGAAGTTTGCCGTCCAAATGGAAGATCTCGAGGGTTTCCATCTTTATCTGTGAAAAGCCACTTCTCGATAGCTTGAAGTGCTGATGGTGTTTTTGGAGAAGTGGCAGAGAAGACTCGTCCTGTCCGCCTTGATCGTCGTGGAGCAGGAGTTGCCTGTCGTTGTTTGAACGGGAAGAATTGATTTGGAGACGGCATTGAATTGTCTGTTTTTGCAGCAAAAGTTGAAGTACTTGAAGGTGTGGTTGGCAACAGCCAATTGGCTATGCGATCCGAGAGGGAGCTGACTTGCTTTTCTGTATTTTCAGCGTATCGTTGTCTCTTGACTCTTGGTGCTTCGTGCATTTCAATATTCATTGATACATTTTCGACGAATTCTCGTTTTCGCATAACAGGTGGGAACGAAGCTACGGCTGAAAATCTGGTTGACGCTGCCTGTTCAGGCGTCTCCTCAGGAACAACTTCCTTGCCTTGCAAAGGTTTTGACTGCAATGTAATTGAGCTTTTTGGCACCTCGACCAAATTTTGATGTCGTCCAACGAATAAATGCAGTTCATTTGATTGATTCTGAAGTAATTCCAATTCCAATTGGAGGGCAGATATCTACAACAAGACAACAACAAACCATTAAACTCTTTTAAATATTGCAGAGAAATTTAAATTCGTACTGGAGATCGACTGAATTTACATCCAAGCAAAAGTTCGCTTGCTGTAGTCTTGTCAAGTACATGCCATCTTTCCATCAAACGCTGGTCTTGTAGTCTAGCCAATGGCATAACTATACTTCCAACCACTTCATCAGATCCAATCTTTTCTTCTTGCATGATTTCAATTTTTACTGTTCCCACGGCAGCTGGAAGTCCTTCAAATGACAAGGTTTCGTTCCATCTTGGTGTAGACCCGACTGGTCTCTTTGTCGTAAATTTCTGCTCCATAATTGTACTTCCATGCATTTGTTTGCCCTTTTGACTATTAATCACCACCTCTACAGTAACACGAACATACGTACGCTGGCCTGATAAAAATCCTGCCTTAAACACCAAATTGCGCCCAGCCTCTACCTTTACATCAAGACGCGCTACACTGCGTCCATTCTCCAAACGTTCATCTACACCTGCTAATGAATTATAACAAAGTTCATGCTGTAATTGACGTAATTGTGCAGTCTTGAGAGAGCGCATTTCATCAAGGCGACGTATTCGTGCCGCAACATCATCCACTGCGCTCATTATACTGGGGGGAAATATTGGAGTGTCTTTTGCCAGATTTTAAGGTTGCTGTTCTGACTATAAATTTTTACATTGACCAATCAAAGTGCGAGAATTGATGAGTATTTGTGATTCTAGGCTTGCATTATTGTGTCAATAACGGAGCCCAAAAAGTAAACAATTTTAAATGAAACTGAATGAAACATGTCAGAGACAATAAATTTGAGAACATTCTTTCAATCTTTAGGAAACTGATGTCATTAACTTGGGGAAATAACTATGGTCTGGCACCGTACATTGAGAATTTTAAGAATCACAATGGTTAAAAGCTTTATCTTCAATCAGCACGACAATTGGTCAGAAATCATGGAAATTTATAATTGGCAAAAACCTATTATTGGTCACGAAACATGTAAAACGGTGGTTCTTTTCCCACCCGTTCAGTACGAGAAATCAGCATGGAAGGTAAGCTAAAAACTACACCACTTGACCCGCGTTTCCCCAACACGAATCAGGCGCAGCATTGCTGGACGCGATACAATGAGTTTGTACTTTGTCTGAAAAACAATGATGGCGACGAAGATGCATGCAAGACGTACTATCAGAACGCTCTCTCGCTCTGTCCTAATTCCTGGGTGTGTTTTTTGCCCTATTTTTGTGTGAAACTTTCGTTTTTGTGTAAATATTAATTGTTTGTTACAATTTTCTATCAGGTGGAACGCTGGAATGAACAACGTGAAGAAGGCACGTTTCAGGGCGTACAATACGATTAATGCACTGCGTTTTCTCGCGTAACGATCCAAAACTTACATTGCTGACGATAGAAAAGTGTAACTTTGCGCCGGTTAGTAATTTTTAAATGAGACGTAGCAATATTTTTCATGCGAAAAAATACCTAATTTTGTATTATCGGAGTAGGAAAACTATTTGATATATGACAAGCTTAATAATTGATACAATACTAATTGTTTCTTTACTATTGAAACATTTATTCAACGCTCATAACAATGTCAAATGCTCTGTCATTCAACGTGGTAGGTCGGTACCATCGTGCACGGGCAGCGACACTTATGTTACCTCATGGTGAAGTCAATACACCAGTATTTATGCCTGTGGGCACACAAGGTGCAATGAAGGGACTGACGACTCTCCAGATGGAAGAGGAGCCAATAAATTGTCAAATTTTTCTCTCTAATACTTATCACTTGGCCCTGCGTCCCGGAACTGACGTCTTAGCGCAATTGCCTGGAAAGTTACACGAATTCATGCAATGGCCACGTAATTTATTAACAGATTCTGGTGGATTTCAAATGGTGAGTCTCTCAAAACTTTGTGAAGTATCCGAACATGGTGTCAAGTTTGAGAGTTTTGTGGATGGATCGACAATGATTTTAACTCCTGAAGCATCAATTGCACATCAAAATCGGATTGGAGCGGACATTATTATGGCACTAGATGATGTCGTTTCAAGTGTTGAAGATGACGAGAATCGATTTCATGAAGCATGTGATCGTACAGTTCGATGGCTTGATCGCTGTATTAAAGCACATGCTTATCCAGAAAAGCAAAATCTTTTTGGTATTGTACAAGGTGGTCTTGATGTTACTCCAGGTGGATTACGTGATCAATGTTTAAAGCAACTTATCCAACGTAATTTACCGGGTTACGCAATTGGTGGTTTGGCTGGAGGGGAGTCGAAAGATGCATTTTGGCGAGTTGTGGCCAAATGTACGGCACAATTACCGGTAAATAAACCACGGTATTTAATGGGTGTTGGATATCCAGTAGATCTTGTCGTGTGTTCGGCACTTGGTGTTGATATGTTTGATTGTGTATATCCAACTCGTACTGCACGCTTTGGTACAGCAATTGTACCTTCTGGGTTACTTAAACTCAAACAAGCTAAGTGGGAAGATGACGATCGACCAATTGATGACACATGCAAGTGTTTTGTGTGTAAAACCTACACTAGAGCATACCTACGTGTGCTTTTAAAAACAGGAGATATTTCTGATACTTCATCGGGAAGTATTGGAGCTCATTTGATCACATACCACAACGTCACGTACATGCTCAATCTCATGCGTCAACTTCGACAATCGATAATTGATCAAACATTTGAACAATTCGTACAAAAGTTTATGCTTCAACACTATCCAGATCGCGTGTACCCCCAATGGGTTATAGATGCATTAACCGAAGCCAAGATAAGATTACAATGAATATAGTACTTAACTCTGTTTCATAAAGTTTGTACAAGGTTATATTGCAACTTGACTTTGTTACTTAAAATCGTGAATCGAAAGAATGTGGCAATTCCAATTGAGAATGTTGATCTGAGTGATGAGAAAAAGTTTGCGCACTGTTTGTTGCACGTGTTGAATGTTGCGCGTAATTTGATTCATTCCACGCGTCTGACGAAATTGATGTCGATGATTGAAGTGAAAGATTTTCATCTAAAGCTGCACTTTCAAGCAACATGTCAATATAATCACGAGCTGGTGGTTGTGGTGGTACTTGGTGCCGATTTTCTTGGTGTCGTGATTGTTCTTGTTGCTGGTACCATGTGTTTCGTTCTTCGTGTTGCTGGTAAATTTGTGCTTGTGACATGCCAAGCCGTTGCAATTGTGGCATAGCATTTAAGTCACTAAATTTGGAGTGTACCAACAATGATGACTCAGGTGTTTGAGAATGGTACACAGTGTTTGGAGTATTATGAGAAGTTGAAACCCATGATTCGGTTTTTGTACCAAAGTTTCGATACTCAGCGTGACGAGTCATTTGTGGTCGTGAACGCTGTCGTTGCTCATGTTGTACTGGAAAAGCTGCATCTTGATAGAAACAAGCTGATGAGACAGGTTGTACCATCGAAGCATCACTTTTGGGTACAGTTGAAAATGCCATTAATTCATCCATTTGAGAAGTTGCAAGTGTTTTGCCACTTAAACCAAATTCAGTACCAAGTTGTTCACTTTTGCGTCGTCGAGTAGTATTTGTTGCAAATGGAGTTTGTTGCGTCATATGTTTTGCTTTTGCTAATTGTTGCAAGTACAAAAAATGTTGATGCGAGTTTGTTGCAGTGGCAACAGCATTTGTTCGAGCTTCCATTTCAAGTGCCAATTCTTGCTCTGCAGGTGTACCAGTACCTTTCCGTCCTGGTAATGAAGCAGCAGCTACAACAGCCGCAAGATTTAAAGCTTCTGAGCCAGGAAGCATCCCAGTAGAATGTCGACGACCAGCAGCACTTGAGTTGAAAAAAGCAACACTTGCACTTGATAAAGTACTGGATTTTTGTCTTTTAAGTGCTTGTTGTGTCGGAAATTGTGTCCGTGTGTGAACTTGAAAATCGTCATGCTGTGGCAAACGCAATTGATGACACAATTCCATTGAACTTGATTTGGTCATTGGTGACATGGTCACAGGTGTTGCACGCTCTTTGCGTTTGATAAGTTTCATTCGATCTTTATCCGATTGTAAAAAAAGGGATGACTAAATGTTCAAATGTTCGTTTGAGTCTTCGTCCACTTTTTGAACCCAAAATAATTGAGTTGTCGCTGAAAACTCGAGACTTTATTGTGTTTAAAATATCGAGGTAAAATCTGAGTGGCAAGTTCTTCTGGTTGAATAATCTGAAATGCTGTACCATCATGAGACCAGGAAATAATTCGTGGATCTTCGACTTCGAGTATTTGATAAAGAAATCGAAGAAACTTTGGAACACCAACATTTCGTCGTTTAATAACGTGAATCTCTGTCTTCTTCGCATCAAAAGGCAATCCATGAGTCTGTAACGCCAATTCTTGTTCTTGTTCTTCTTCAGGCTCTTGCTCTGATGCGACAAGTGATGCCTGACGTGTGGCCATAGTATCCATCCCACAATCGACTTTTGTTTTTAAAGATGGAAAGGAAAGATGTAGAGTTGATGAAGATGGCTGTACAGTCGTTGAGATTAATGATAATAGTGGGGGATTCGTAGTCGAGACGGAGCTAGTGGAGATGAGCGAGTTGCAAGATCGATTGTCTACCTCGCCA